TATTAGGTCTTTGTATTGGGTTAAGCGCGTTGAGAAACCCGCTGGAGTTGGACATTTATGGGCAACCAAGTACTGACCAGCTCCAAGGTTGGTTGTTCGGCAGACTCCATTGACTTGGCCTCAACCATCACAAAACCGCTGTGTCGGACAACAAATTCTTGGTTGAGAGCAAAATATGAATACCGAAATGTCTCGTCAAGCACTACCGAAAGAGGTGTTTTTGACTATGGTAGTGGATTCGAGCACCCCAGCTTGGGAGTATTTGGCTACGAAATTTATTGCAATGCTGATCCCGCGAATCCTAAACAGCTCCAATGCTAAGGTGTTCATTCTTAAAGTCCACACTGTTGTGGTATAAAAGCTGACAATAACTTGCAGCAGCCTCGCATTTCATATGTTCTCTACTCGGGTGTGACTTCCTATGCATCCCCTATTGTCAAAGATGTATATTTTACAAGAGCACAAGACGCACAAAATATCTTCAAATCGATTATGATGAATCTCCAAGGTCCAGTCTCAAGGACTACTCCAGGAGGAGGGAGTGCCTCTCTGGAAGCGTTAGTACGCGCTATTGAAGTGAGAGACTGGACTATATAATGACCCCGCTGACGCCCAGCATCAGCACCTAGATTTATTAGAATCCCTCGAGCCACTTACATCGCAATCACCAAAACACATATTTTTCGTCACTGCCGCTCCTCCCGATGATAGCCAAAGACCGCTTTGGAACAAGTCCAATAAATTCGATGATTTTGGGTGGTCCCATTGTGAAGAGTGGCTAAAACAGGTAATTCGATACTATATATCACGATTGCATAACCATAGGCTGATGATTCCAAGAAATCTATAGCATTGACAATGATATACAGCAGGCTGCCACCTCACCCAAGATATCTCAGCCTTCATGCCTCCCTTAACCCAGTACCAATCGAGCCAATTCCTCCTTCGGGGCCAGTGAGGATATCACTCTCGTTGCCCATATGGTCTATAATGCGCCCAGGTGGACATCAAAGTGGCCAGAGTGGGCCTACCCCTGCTCCGGCTACCGCAACTCCTTCACCTAACATAGTTGCTAGTCCAGCCCCCATCGCGAGTTCTCCGAACGCAACCCGCAAAAGGAAAGCCCCCGATGAACCTCAACTAAGTCCCCGTCGAGTCAAGTTCCCTCCTGGGACAGTCGGGGGTTCTGGCAATGCAAATACACCTTCCTCGAGCTCTGTGAGCTCTGTTCCACCAAGGCCTACGTCAGTTTCGGGGGTGCGTGTGGTACCAGAACCAAAACCAGAAAATACACCCAGTCACCCGGCAAATCGAAACATTAGCCAACAACCAGCCTCTGTCTCCCTGGGAGAGCGAAATAATCAAGCCACTTCACAATCCCAGTACCCTACTCAGTCGATACCATCTAATCCACCCGGTACTAACACGAATTTACCTCCTGTTGGGCGACCTCCGTCAACCCAGCCATCCTCTTCACAAACTGTGCAACAGAACTCCTATCCACAGGATCAATCTACTTCTATTGCTGCTCTAGGAGGCGCACAAGGAAAGTATGACCTTATGGGGTTACTTCCGGAACATATAGCTCAAATACAAAAGTTCGCCTCCAGTCCCCTTGAGCAAAAGCGTGAAAATTTGATGAAGCTTCAGAGAATGCAGCGTGAGTCCTCTTTCCAAATCATTTCGTTGCTCTAGCTTGCATCGGAGTGGAAAAGAATATGCTAACTCTATGAGCAGAAGACTTGGATATGGCCGGAACAAAGTTTCAAGCAGAGAATAGGCTTGCAGAGGCAAAAAATGAATTCTTGAAACGCGACAAGATACGAGAATGGATCAAACGTCTTAACTCCGCTGGCCCTGCTGTACAGGGAATCCTTACTGATAGTAACATTGGTACTACCAATCCTGAAGCCACGAATAATATTGGTGGGGGACCTGCTCCAAGTGGGCCGACAATGGCGATAAATCCTCAAGTACCTAGCGCCCCGGGAAATCCTGACCGAACAGCAGCACCAATCACAAACATCCCTCCCACACAGAGTATAGACCAGAATACCAGCATCATCTCCGCACCCACATCTACTAGTACAGCACCTATCAGTCAAACTGGCACAGGTCCGGTTGGCACCCAATTAGTATGGAAGGGCGTCCTATCCGTCACAAATCAAGAGGGAAATCGAGTGATGCCAGAGATATTGGTGTCAATGTTTCCTCTCAAATCAAGTACAAACCAGTATGTTTTAATTGGTGGATACCTTTCTACACAGTCTAAATTTGGATTTAGTCAGGTCTCATTGAGCACGTGGCCCAATCAACTTTATATGCAGCCAATACGACATCAAACGCCCTCCCATGAACTTGTGACTTGGTTGCAAGAGAATAAGCCTGAAGGGGTTTACTGTGTCAAAGTTTTACAGCTGGACATTTGGTCTGGGGGAATACAAGTAAGTAGGTGAATATTTTTCATTGTTTAGGCTGACATCTAGATATTCAAGCACGCCAATAACTTGCAAACGCAGCAACTGCAACAAGTCCAAAGATTTAATACCCTGAGGAACGCTGTCATCAATAATAAACTCGTAAATCAGCTTAATTTCTCTTTTGAGTTGATCTAATTCCC